CGAGCATTGATCCGCCGGAGCCAGGGACTCGGGTGCCGTTCTAATATTCATTAAATTCACATTATTGGCCTCGGCTTTTCTCGATCCCTCTTATGTACATAAAATCTTCCCTGTTCCTTCTTCGGGGACATGGGAGAAAAAATGGCGATACCCGAACCTGGCGCAGGATGATCAACGATATTAATAAGGGAATCGGCCAGGTTAAATAATCATGCAAAGTCGCCTCCCCGCTCTCGCAAGCAGTCGCCGCAAGCTCGGTCGTAAATTCCGGCGATTGGAGGGGCCGAGTGACGCTAAATTGCCGGCGACTCCGAGAGCAAATATTATGCTGTCAGTTAATAGCGGCGTTATCCTCCTGTAGCACAAATAACGCCCCTCGCCACTGCCTTTCGCCCTCACGTCCCGCTGCCAGGGAGAGAGAGAGAGCGAGCCATTTCGCTGAGGGCTTTGGCGGGCGAGCAGGGGCCGAGGGGAGGGGCATGGTGGGGGGAACACTCTTCAGGGAGTCATGGACACAAGACACGCCCCCCCGAACGCCCCTCTGCTTTCCTTCTCCTCCTCATCCTCTTCTTTTTACTTTTCCTCTTCTTCCTCGTCCTCGTCCTCCTTTCTTCTTCTCTCGTCTCTCCTCTTTTCTTCTTCCTTCTCGTCCACCTCCTCCTCCTCGTTCCCGTTCACGCCCTCGTCCTCCTCCTCGCTCCTTACCTCCACCTCTCTCGCCTTCCCCTCTAACTTCACTCCGTTCTTCTCACCTTCCTTCCTTCCTTCCTTCGTCGCTCTTCTCATTTCCCACTCTCCCATGCACACCTGCTTCCCCAGCCGTATCACACGTTCGTACCCAAAAGCCCCAAACACACCTGTTCATCAACAAATCAACCAAAGTTTTTATTTTTCTCTTTTTTTTGTTAATTGCATCGTTAAGACTACATTAGGCTGAGCATCGGAGCAAGTCTGTTAAATCAAAGCGCCCGGGGGTGGGTAGGGGGTGGGTAGGGGGTGGCGGGGGGGAATGTTTGCCGCAGCACTATATAAAACAACGGACGACCTGCACTTTGCACGAGTGGAGAGCGGGGTGTGGTAAACATATATCCACACACTCCATTACTCATCCACAACACATTGGATCTGTCAATCACACCCTGTTCACAACTATGTGTGTAAGTGACTATGCCGCGCTCACATGTACGTCCGCACATACCTACAAACATACGTTCGAGCGCCTGCTACACACGGCTCGTATGTTAACACCGCGAGCACTATTTTAGGCAGTGAGATATGACCCAGCAGTAAAATAAGCCCTTTATACATCGCAGCTACACACACACACACACACACACACAACACACACACACACACACACACACACACACACACACACACACTGTACCAGAACTACATATCCACATACTTATTCAGGAATCCTCCTCGAGTCCCAGCAAGAGGAATCCGCCATGTAACGCGCTAGATTCCTTTCATATGTATATCATCGCAACCCCCATTATCACACCTATGGTTCCAGGGCCTTATTCCCTCGCACAGCATACTGCAGGATATATTTGCATGCTAAGCACGTCCTCCCGTGTCTACCCAAAGGCATCGGACGCCGGTGCTGCCCCCTGGAACCGCCGCGTCCTTAGAGACACGTCCATGCACCCAGCAACCGCCGCCGCCGCGCCATCAGCAGGCGAGGAGTTCGGTGGCGAAGGCGAGGCTCCACTTGTATCGACCTTCGCGCCGGCTGCTCGAGTGGACAAACATGGGGGAACGACGGACGAGGTTCTCACGCGCCCACGCCGCCCATCTCGTGTTCCCGACGCCCCGCCTGCGTCTCGCCACGGAGAGCCTCGCCCAGGCCAGGTCATGCGGAAGGCGCGACTGCTCTCGTCACTCGGCACCGGAGAGACTTCGGAGGGCTCGCCGCGGACGGCTATTTCGCATGCCGGGGATGTCCGCCCTCGGGCCGAGACGGAATGTTAAGGTTCACGCAGGGAGGCGCTTCTTGGGACATCGAGCCGACAGGGAGCCCGAGGGACTGATCTTCGTTTTGGCGTCTTGGCTTTCGACAAAGAAGGGACCAGGATGTGACGTGGATTCTGCAGCAGCACTCGCCGTCCCCGTCGCACTGAGACCAGGGCCGAGCCGTGGATGGCAGCCCCGCGGTCGCGCAGCCCGCGACATGCCGAAGAACCATCAGTCATCCCGCTCAAAGTACAGCAGCAGGGACCTCGCCGAGCCTTAATGACTGTGTTTTACTCGATAAGCCTTTTGGCGCATAACGCAACCGAAAGAGTCCGCTGAACCAACAATTCCGCTCATATTTCAAAGCTGACCAGAAACAGGCTGTGACTGACCAGCCCAAGGGAGAGTAGACGCGGTCTGTCACAGCAAAGCCGAGGCTGGCTGACAAATGGGCCAGTAACACGACAGGCGACGCCTGCACCCTTGCATAGACACGGGAACACAGAGACAATGACATAGACACTGGCACAGACACTCATTC